AACATTGTTGAAGCTGACGCGGTGGAAGCTGACGCTGTAGAAGCTAACGCTGTGGAGGCTAACATTGTGGAGGCTAACATTGTGGAAGCTAATGCGGTGGAAGCTGACGCTGTGGAAGTTTACGCAGTGGAAGCTAACACTGCGGAAGCTAACGCGGTGGAAGCTGATGCTGTGGAAGTTAACGCTGTGGAAGATAATGCTGTGGAAGCTAACACGGTGGAAGCTAAGGCTGTGGAAGCTGACGCGGTGGACTCTAACACGTTGTAAGCTAACGCTGTGGAAGCTAACGCGGTGGAAGCTAACGCTGTGTGCTCTTTCCAGGTGGTGGTGTGTGTGTCCGCTGGCTACAGGCACAGCGCCGCCGTCAGCGAGGATGGCGAGCTCTACACGTGGGGGGAGGGTGACTTCGGCAGGTTGGGTACGTCTGACCTTTGACCTCTGCCCTCACATAGCTCTTTCCCCTTTTACCTAATGTTTCCACACAGGTTCAATAATGAAGTATAATGAATATATAATAAAAATACCGGTATTATAAAGAATCATTGTTAGCTCGCTAATCTGTGGCCTAAAAATTGAAGATAGAGAAAACTACAGTTGATTTTTTAAAATTACAATAAAAAAAAAAAGTTGATAAAAATGTTATAATTTATTTTTTTGTTTCTGAATTAGTCATTTTAGTCTGCTGAATCGGGAATCTGCCTGTTTCCTGTCTGTCAGACTGTGTTTTCTTTGGCCTTTTTCCTCCATCAGCTCCAGAAACAGAACAGATGATGTGTCTCTGTGACAGGCTGCTGCTGACAAAGAACCTAAAGATCCACTTTAAACTGCTGCTCTGCTGATTGGACCCAATGCTGGCTCAGCCCTTGAGTTAGGGGCCTTTTTCTGACCCAAGTGGCTTAAAAAAAGGATTTAAAAAAAGAATAAAACTGGATTAGAAATGAGTGAATAAGTAGAAAATGTCTTTACAAAAACCCCGAAAGAGCTCAGAAATCCTGGATCAGTGTCACTAAAGAACGTCAGGCTGTTTGAGGGAAAATATAAATAAATTAAAGGTGGATGGAGACTTTTTAAACTAATCTTTATCCCTCTAATCTTGCACCCTTTCCCTGTGAGTCTCCTCTCCAGTTTAAATCACTGGCTCATCCCTTGAGTTAGGGGCCTTTTTTTCTTCCTGAATGACTCAGAGCTCAGATTTAAGCGGCTGAACAAAGAAACACGCTCCGCTACGAGGACTGAAAATGAGAGAAGCAGCATAAAAACTCAGAAGGAAAACCTCTTTAACATTCACAGCTATGTGCCCCCCCATTTGTGCTGCTGACTGCCTCTGTCTGTGAAACAGGTCACGGCGACAGCAACAGCCGGAACATCCCCACGCTGGTCAAAGACATCAGCAACGTGGGCGAGGTGTCGTGTGGCAGCTCGCACACCATCGCTCTGTCCAAGGACGGCCGCACCGTCTGGTCCTTCGGGGGCGGCGACAACGGTGAGTAAGCCGCATCAGCTCCACAACTCCTGGTATTGTCTGTTAAAAGCTTTCATGGTGTGGGCTATTCCTCTGTCTCCTCATTGGGCCTTTTCCTCTTCGAAAACTTTCCAAAGACGTCTGTTTTTCACTCTTTTTTCTAACTTGTGGGTTACAGTTTTTGGCGCTCAAGTGACCGAGATGTAACGGAGAGAATCCGGTTGTTTGTCCAAACAAAAGATCTGACACCATAAAAGATTATTCAGACTCGGAGAATGAATACAGCGGAAACTATTCATTATTACTTGGGCGGCCTGGTACCGTTCCACGGACCGTGGTTTGGGCACCACTGCTTTAAATTACTGTATTTTCCGCACTATAAGACGATTCAGACTGTTTTCAGCTGTTGTTCCAAGATGGAGGAGGGAGCTACCAGGCGTTACAAGAGCCCCCAAAACAGCTTTAAAGCCACAAAACTGCTTTAAAGCCACAAAACGGCTTTAAGCTCCAAGAAACAGCATTAATAGCCTCAAAACCGCTTTAAAAGCCCCCAAAAAACGCTTTAAATGCCCCCCAAAAAAGCTTTAAAGCCACAAAACAGCTTTGAGATGGTAGGAAGTAGATACCAGGCCCACCAGAGCAGCAGCTCCCTGTCTGTCTTCATAAACCCCTATAGACTCACCTCTCAACAGATCATCTCCTATCCCAACTCCTTACAGACCTCTGGACCCTCTACTCCTCTTTCTGTGCCTCCCTCTATCTTCTCCTGTCTCCTCTGACTCTGACTGGGGGTTTTCTTTCTGCTTTGTGATTCGCTTTGGATTAAAAGTATTGTCATAGTGATGACATTGTCATAGTGTTGAGAAATGTAACATTGTGTCTACTCTGTAAGTCGCTTTGGATAAAAGCCTCTGCCAAATATATAAACATAAACATAAAGCGTCTATATGCAGAACCAGAAACATGTAAACTGTCACCAACCTGCAGGAAAGCTGGGCCACGGCGACACAAACCGGGTCTACAAGCCCAAAGTGGTGGAGGCCCTGCAGGGCATGTTCATCAGGAAGGTGTGCGCCGGCAGCCAGTCGTCTCTGGCCCTCACCTCCACCGGACAGGTAGGCCCCCTCCTCCCCTCCCCCGCTGGAGACTGCTGGACCAGGCCTAACCCAGAGCGTCTGCCCCCCCCCCTCAGGTGTACGCCTGGGGCTGCGGCGCCTGCCTGGGCTGCGGCTCCTCCGAGGCCACGGCGCTCAGACCCAAGCTGATCGAGGAGCTGGCCACCACCCGGGTTGTGGACATCTCCATCGGGGACAGCCACTGCCTGGCCCTGTCCCACGGTAACCCCCCCCCCCCCCCGTTCTCTGGAACCCGCTGGACTCCATTAGCTGTTTATTGTGTCATTCTCTGTTTTTGTAAAGTCAGCGAAACAGGGTTAAAGCATGAAGCGTGAAAAATGCTGAGGTCAGATGCCATCTTTTTTTGGTATGTGAGCAAGAGTTATATATACTTATAGAAGAGAGATGTAAAAAGAAACAAATGATAAAGCAATATTAAATAAAATAATCAATAAAAACGCCCTTTTATTGGCCCTTTACCTCAGAGACTGAATGGAGGTAGAGGTGGAGACAGAGATACAGGACGTACCCTAACTTACTCTGACTTTCACTACTTAACTTATTTATTTTGATTTCATTTTGATATTTTATTTACATTTTTTTCTACGAATTCGACATCGTATGTTATAGTTTTACTTCGGATGTCGAGTCGAATATTTTATCAAATTTCACTTCGGATGTTGAAAATTCGTATGTTTAGGCAAAACAAAAAGAAAGAGGGCGAGAGAAAGAGAGAGAGAGAGCAAGAGAGAGATAGAGAAGGCAAGAGAGAAAGAGGGGAAGAGAGAGAGGGGAAGAAAGAGAGAGATGTGAAATGGTAGATATTGATAATAATGTTAATGATAACAGTAATAATACAAGAGGACCACAGCTCCACAGCTCCAGGAGCACATGCAGGAGGTGATGGAGGAGAGAGGAGAGGGAGTTAGTGACATCAATAATGGGAGAGAGAAAGGAGAGGGGAGCCCGGTGCATCGTGGGAAATCAGTCTGGGCCTCTGCCAGCATAACTAAGGGTGGTTCCGACTCCCCTAATCAGCCCCAAATATAAGCTCCATCACAGAGGTAGGTTTTCAGCCTGCTCTGAAAGTAAGAGTTGTGCCCCGGTTTCCCTCCAGACAACGAGGTGTACGCCTGGGGCAACAACTCCATGGGCCAGTGTGGCCAGGGCAACTCCACCGGCCCCATCACCAAGCCCAAGAAGGTGGTGGGCCTGGACGGGGTGGCCATCCAGCAGATCTCAGCCGGGACGTCCCACAGCCTGGCCTGGACGGCCCTGCCCAGAGACCGGTGGGTGGGGGGCTCCGGGGGGGCTCCGTACTCTGTGTGTGTCTGGTTTTGGTATTTCCCCTCATTTGATCTGTATAGATCTTTGTTTTCTGAGTTATGTTATTTCTTTGTTTTTTGTTAGTTTTCCGATTGTTACCTTTTTCGTCTGAGTTTGGAGTCTGTTTATCCTCTTTACTCTTGTTTTTGTCTGTTTTTTTTTATTTTATTTAATTTGATCTGTTTATATCTTTTTTTTCTGAGTGTTGTTGAGTTTTTCTCTTCTTTTTTCTGTTATTTCTTTGTTTATTGTTGTCTTTTGTTTGTTACCTTTTTTCTGTGAGTTTGGAAAATTCCTGTTTATCCTCTTTACTCTTGTTTTTGTCTGTTTTTTGTTTTTTCCTTTAATTTGATCTGCTTAGATGTTTGTTTTTTTGTATTTGTCTTCTTTTTTTACTGTTATTTCTTCATTTTTCTTAGTCTTCTGCTTGTTTGTTGCCTCTGGTTCTGAGGTCTGGTCCTGAGGTCCAGTCCTGAGGCCTGGTCCTGAGGTCCTCTGGTCCTGAAGCCTGGTCTTGAGGTCCTCTGGTCCTGAGGTCTGGTCCTGAGGTCTGGTCCTGAGGTCTGGTTCTGAGGTCTGGTCCTGAGGCCTGGTCCTGAGGTCCGGTCCTGAGGCCTGGTCCTGAGGTCCTCTGGTCCTGAGGTCCTCTGGTCCTGAGGCCCTCTGGTCTTGAGGCCTGGTCCTGAGGCCTAGTCCTGAGGCCTGGTCCTGAGATCCTCTGGTCCTGAGGCCTGGTCCTGAGATCCTCTGGTCCTGAGGTCCTCCGGTCCTGAGCTCTGGTCCTGAGGTTCTCTGGTCCTGAGGTCCTCTGGATCTGAGGTCCTCTGGTCCTGAGGTCTGCTCCTCTGCCCTGCAGGCAGGTGGTGGCCTGGCACCGGCCGTACTGCGTGGACCTGGAGGAGAGCACCTTCTCCCACCTGCGCTCTTTCCTGGAGCGTTACTGTGACGGCATCAACAGCGAGGTCCCCCCGCTGCCCTTCCCCTCCTCCAGGTAGCCCCCCCCTCCCTCACACGCCTCCAGATGTTTGTTCCTCCGGATGCTTGTGCCTCCGGAAGCCCTCTGAACAGGTCTGTTTGCAGGGAGCACCATAACTTCCTGAAGCTGTGCCTCCGGCTGCTGTCCAATCACCTGGCTCTGGCCCTGGCCGGGGGCGTGGCCACCAGCATTCTGGGTCGGCAGGCCCGGCCTCTGCGGAACCTGCTGTTCAGGCTGATGGACTCCTCTGTTCCGGATGAGATCCAGGAGGTAGGGCCGGGTCACAGGCTGGAGCTGAGAGCCACAAACCCTGGAGAGCAGTGGCTCCTAACCCCCCAGTTTCAGACACATTTACTGAACCCTCTTTAGTGAGAAATTAAATATATATTTTTTTCCAAATTCAAGACAAATATGCAGCAGAAACTAAACATACGAACACATCCGAAGTGAAATTCGATCAAATATTCAACACCCGAAGTAAATTTTGAACATACGTCGACGTTATAGAAAAAAATATATATATAAATAAATAAATATATATACAGTATATATATATATATAAAGATTAAATAAAAATAAATAAGCTAGTTTAAAGTTGAGGTAGTGAAAGTTAGAGTAGGTTGGGGTTCAATGTCTGTATTTTTCAAAATGTTAGATAAAGAGTTTCTTTTTTTTAAGAGAGAATCCTGTTCACAGGCAGACACTGCATGTTTGTTTACAAAATCGCAAATTGCAGTCTTTTATGCGATTACAGAATTGCACAGCATGACATCGTGATTGCGATTAGACACACAAACACACACAGAGACACACAGACACTAGTCTTTACCTTCAGAGGCTCCATGAACCCCTGAGACCGACTCACCGAGCCCTCAGGGTTCCTAGAACACAGGTTAAGAACCACTGCTGTAGAGTCAGACCTGTTTCAGCTGAGCCCGGTTTCTGCCCCCTGTTCAGCCATGTCTGACATGACATGCGTGTGTGTGTGTGTGTGTGTGTGTGCTGTCCCACCAGGCCGTGATCGAGACTCTGTCTGTGGGGGCCACCATGCTGCTGCCCCCCCTGAGGGAGAGGATGGAGCTGCTCCACTCCCTGCTGCCGCAGGGCCCCGACAGATGGGAGAGCCTCTCCAAAGGACAGGTGTGCAGAGCCTCGGCCGATCGAAATGAGCCCACTCCCTGAACCAGAGTCAACCCCAGCTGGTTGTCTGCCGGTTATCGGCTTTCCCGGCCGTCCGGAAGCAGCCAAAGGGCTTACGGGGAGGGCTGAAGCCCAGCTGAGCCCTGCTCATTCAGCTCAGTGTGAGGCAGTCTCAAGCATCGGAAGACATGAAGAGCGCTGCCTGATTCCAATTCAAATTTTTCAATTTAAATTGGATTTCATCTCCCAGCTTTCCAAACAGAGCAGCTCAGACTCTGAGTTATTTACAGAAACCCAACAATTCCCACCAAGAGCAGCACTAGGAGACACAGGTTCAGATGGATGTTTTGGGATGGGAGTAACGTGTAGGGCTGATGCTCACGGGGGTGGGAAGGCTGGAGTGACTGGTTAGCAGTTAGTTGTTAGCAATTAGCAGTTAGCGGCTAGCTGTTAGCAATTACTAATAAGTAGGGTTGTCACGATACTAAAGTTTTCAACTCGATACCGATACTCAGGCAAATATTCGATACTCGATACCATTTTTAATACCACAAGGATAAAAACAAAGACCCTAGTACTTTTGACAACCCTAGTAATGAGCAATTAGCGGTTAGCTGACAGCGGTTAGCTGATAGCAGCGCCGCCGACTCCAGCACGAGTCATCTGTAATCCTGAAGCTGCACGTCTGGGCTAAACCCGTCTGTGTGTCTCAGAGGATGCAGCTGGACATCATCCTGACCAGTCTCCAGGACCACACGCATGTGGCCTCGCTGCTGGGCTACAGCTCTCCTGCCGACGGCCCCGAGGTCCCCTCCACCGGCGCCGCCTTCACGGCCTCCGCCGACCCCGCGCACGGCGCCACGGGCGGCCACCCCGACACCCACCTGGCTGAGATCCTGATGAAGACGCTGCTCAGAAACCTGGGCTTCTACACTGTGAGTGACTGGTTAGCGGTTTGCAGTTAACGATTAACGGTTAGCTGTTAGCAGTTAGTGGCTAGCGGTTGGTGGTTAGCTGTTAGTAATTAGCAGTTAGCTGTTAACAGTAAGCTGTTGGAGTCTAGCTGTTAGCAGTTAGCTGTTAACTTTTAGCAGTTAGATGTTAACAGTTAGTGGTTAGCGGTTAGCGTTCCTCTGCGTTTAGCACTAGAAGGCCGGATTTTCAGCGCCGCCGGCTCTAGCATGACTCATCTTTAATCCTTTAGCATCAGCTGCTGCCTTTTTTCCTGGCAGAGAGCAGCTTTTTCCTGCTCCAGTGTCTCAGAAGACAGCGTTATGCTGATCCAACACACACAGGCCGGCTCTAAGTGTGTGTGATTATGCAGCCTTGAGCATTGACCCAGCCAGGTTTTCTATCTCTACAGAGCTCTCTGTAACACAACCTCCTTCAGATTTGCCAGATTTAAGCTCGAAGTAAAATGCGAAAATGCGTCCAGTTTTTATCCCGCTGCTCTCCGTTCGCAGCATTGCTGGCTCATCCCTTGATTTAAGGGCCCGATTTCCTCCTAAATGAGAATGACTGGACTGAAAATCAGAGAAAAAGCAGAAACACTTCAGAAAGCGGCGGCTCAGAGACACTTAAGAGGTTAAATAAATTAAGCTACTCAGATTTTTAGCATCTCTCTTCCATCAACAGCTAATGTCCAATGTTCCGTTAGATGAGTTTATTAGTGCAGCCTCAAGCTGCCCGTGAGATATCATCTGATTTCAGGAGTCGTGTAACTCCCTTTAGCCACTGAAAACTGGCTGGAAGTTTATTGGATTTCCAGGAAAGTTGTTACCGCATCTTAATTATTAAAGACTTGTTTTTGTGAAATGAAACCAAACATCCTGAAGACTAAAGAGGGGCATCGATTTAAAGCATCTTAGTCGTTGTAAAGAAGGAGCTCTCATAAAATCCCGCTAAGGGCATGACGAGCTGATGTGGAGGCTTTTGGAAAAGCTGGCCCATCAGGACCGGAACAGAGTTTTTAATGTCTCATAAACCTGAGACACTGCAGCGCTTTGATGGAGGTAAACCTCCTAAAGCTTTACTCAGAAATTGAAAAAGCGGAAAAAATGGAGAAAGAAACAATTAAAGAAGAGCTGAAAGAAAAAGAGTTGATTTGATTTGGTTCAGTTTAGGGAAACTTTCATAACTTCTGATATTTAATAAGAGAGGAGCAGCATTTTAAAGAAAAAGAGTTGATTTGATTTGGTTCAGTTAAAAGAAACTTCCATAATCTTGTGATATTTAAAAAGGGAGGAGCAGCATTTTGAAAACTCTATAAACCAGAACATGTTTTCTTTCCAGAAACATATACGTTCTTGGATGAAATACAGTTTTTTGTGCCATAAAAGCCGGCTGTGGGCTCCACCCCAGAGGGGCCCCATCCGGGGGGCGGCCGGAGCCCCCGGGTGTCCGGTTAATGGTCAGCCCCGCTGCTCTGCTTGTGCCCCGCAGGACCAGGCGTTGGGCGAGCTGGAGAAGAACAGCGACAAGCTGCGCCAGGGCACGTCCTCGTCCGACAGCAGCCAGCCGGCCCACCTCCACCAGCTGCTGTGCTCGCTGCAGAAGCAGCTGCTGGCCTACTGCCACATCAACGCCGTCACCGAGGTGCCCCCCCCCCCCCCCCCTCTGTTTGCTCCCCCAGGTCTAATCGCAGGGAGATCCTGTTTACTCATTTAACCTTTGAGCTGTAAAAGACTCTGCTGGGCAGATGTTGCACAACGGCACACAAACATTTTCCCAGAAAATGTATCAGAGCGGCTGATCAGCAAACAGTCTGAGCTGGTTCAGAGGTCTTTATTTAAGGTTTTTAGGTTTTTAGGGTAGGATCCTTGAACATTAGGGTTGGATCTCAGGTTTTTGGGTTGGATCTTAGGTTTTTAGGGTTGGATCTCAGAATATGAGAGTAGGATTTCAGAATATATGGGCAGGATCTTAGGTTTTTAGGGTAGGATCTCAAGTTTTTAGGGTTGGATCTCAGAGTTTTAGGGTTGGATCTTAGGTTTTTAGGGTTGGATCTCAGATTTTTAGGTTGATTCTTAGGTTTTTAGGGTTGGATCTTAGGTTTTTAGGGTTGGATCTTGGTTCACATTCCTCTGGAAAGGCTGAGCTATAAGGAGAAAAAAATGAAAGAATAATTCAACTCTGAAAGCTGCAGAGCTGCTGCTTGGAGACACTTTAAGGGAAAACAGGATGATCAGGAGTATTTTTCCTTTATGAGGACAAAACAAATGAGAGAAAAAGTCCAAAGACCAAGAGCTTTTATACAGATGGACACAGTTTTTTTAATGCAGCCTTTCAGTATTTGAGATGTTTTAACGTAACGAAACCTGCCTGCAGCTTTTTGCTTTTCTAGAAGAGCAGAATCACCAAACACCTGATTATGTTTTGGTTCAAATAAAGCAAATTTCCACTTTAATAGTCAACAGAGTCAACAGTTTCACATCATGTGATGATAGGGGGGGCAGGACAACAATGAAAATCATCATTCATGCAACAAAAGAGGAAAATGTGACACACATTCACTTTTTTGGTGGAATAAATCATGAATTAGAGACATTTATGGGTTATAAATAGGAGGACTTCATGTGAGAGCTTCTGTCCTATGTTGATTTTAGTCCCACTAGCTCGTATTCAGGGTGGATGTGGTCCATTTTTTCCTCTGTGTCGCTGCACGCCATCAGAAATCTGACTATTTAAAAGAGGAATATTTAATCCCTTAGATTTGGTTGTTTTCACCCAATCGCCTAAAATCAGTCAATGTGTCACATCCAAAAAGGTTTTTTTTTTTAGTTTCTCAAAGCAAAACCATTTTGAAACGATCAGAAAGCAACTTTTTCTGTGTCCTCGTTGACTCTGGAGCCTGACGGCTGCCCTGTCTGTGTGCAGAACTCCAGCAGCGTGGCCCTGCTGCACAAACACCTGCAGCTCCTGCTGCCGCACGCCACCGACATCTTCTCCCGCTCGGCCGCCCTCATCAAGGAGAGCTCCTGGAACGGCAGCATCCGCGAGAAGCTGCAAGGTGAGACAACTGGAACATTGGATCTGCTTTGTGAGTCGCTTTGGATAAAAGGCTCTAAATGCAAAAACAGAAACATAAAAGCCCCCAAAACAACTTTAAAACCCCTTAAAAGTCTTTAAAAGACCCCAAAAAACACCTTTAAAAGCCACAAAACAGCCTTTAAAGACCCCCAAAACAGCATTTAAAGCCTCCCAAAAAATTTATAGTCAGACTGATGAGAACTGGAACATTGTCTACTTAGTGAGTCGCTTTTGATAAAAGCCTCTAACTCCAGAAATATGAGCATAACTGATCATCCTTGGCTGCAGAGAGGCAAGCGGCTGACGTTGCCCCCCCCACGTGTCCTCCCCAGATGTGATCTACGTGTCGGCCGCTGGCAGCATGCTGTGTCAGATCGTCAACGCGCTGCTGCTGCTCCCCGTGTCCGTGGCCCGGCCTCTGCTCAGCCACCTGCTGGACCTGCTGCCCCCCCTGGACCGCCTCAACAGGCTGCTGCCGGCCGCCGCCCCCCTGGAGGACCAGGAACTGCAGTGGCCTCTGCACGGTGAGCAGGGGGGGGTCACATGGGGGGCGGGGGCACTGGCTTTACTTTGTTTTTGGGATTCATTCAACACGAACGAGTGCTAGTCGGTGCTCAGGGAGATTAGTTTAGATTTTCTGACTGGAGCAGAATAACCAATCAGAGCTCAGATACATGGAGAATAACCAGTCAGAAATCGGATAGATGGAGAATAACCAATCAGAGCTCTGAAAGAAAGACAATAACCAATTAAAGCTCAGACAGATGGAGAATAACTAATCGGAGTTTAGACAGATGGAGAATAACTAATCAGACCTCAGACAGATGGAGAATAACCAATCAGAGGTCCGAAAGATGGAGAATAACCAATCAATGCTCAGACAGATGGAGAATAACTAAACGGAGTTTAGACAGATGGAGAATAAACAATCAGAGCTCAGACAGATGGA